ATGAGTTCAGAGAGAGACGTTCTCCTGCTGGGATGTGGTTTCAGGGTCTGAACTCTTTAGTTCTCCAAAAGCACTGGCCTACACCACCTCGTCTCCATAAACCACATAACATATACTCCTTCTTTCTGTTGCTCTGTCTTCTTCTTCTCCTCTGCCGACTCTTCCTTTTATGTAGTGCGAGTAGTAGCACGCATCTCCTTTGTTTTTACATTTTGCCTGTGTTAATTTGATGACAGTTTTATAAAACATTCTGCTGTCTAGTAATATAGTCTCAAAATGTCAGAGACTACATGGGAATAGTATAAATAAATGTATTCTGTGCATTTTCCTATAATCTCTTCTATGCGTCAATCCTTATTCACATGACCTGTTTTATATTGTTCCCAAACAAGGCTCTATCAGTTTGCTGGACAAGCAAAGTGTCTGCTGTGATACACTGCAAATCTGAAAATATCTGATGTAAAATATATAATCATAATCATGAAGGTCTGTGCAGTATTGTACAGTGCTGTTGAAGCTTAAGTAGCGATCAGCTCGAACAATGTGAACTCTGTCTCTGTTTTCTTTGTGTTCATTCTCACCAGACACTAGCACACACTTAACTCTCACAACTGACAACCAAACCTGGAACCTCAGAATACAGAGTGTTTCAGAATGGCTATAAATAACATTCTCGCTTTATGTCCTGCATGTACACGTATGTAGAGTCGTAATAGAGAAGACATTATGTATAATATAATACATATTATATCTGGTGTGAAAAAAAAAACGCTTAACCCGTGGCTTGCAAAGTGACTATATGTCAAGACTATCTCAGATTCAGATGTTTATTGCATAACAACAGAAGAGATCATTCACAAATGTTATCATGATTTATTTGTAACATGCCATATACTGATTTATATTTAAACAGAACGTATTACATCAAATGAGGTAAGAAACAGCTTGGTTATTTTTCTGTGCAGATATTTTGTCATTAATATTTATGATATCAATAACTAATTTGTAATGGAGGTCCAATTTACCAGTGTTTTAAAAGATTTTCAAAAGATAAGTCTATGTATAAGGTATCTTCAAAAATGTATTGTTGTTTGTCAAATCGAATAATATGGAATAATCTCTAGTAAAACTGTTTTTAGCAAGGCATATTCAAAATGAGATATGGGGACCCCCAAGGGGCCTCCAGAAGGGGTTATGTGGTCCGCAGAAAATTTCAGCGGAATTAAGTGTAAAAAAAACAAAAAAAAAAAACACTTTGCAACAAAGTTTATTGTAAAAAATAAAATAAAAATAAATACTCATTAATAAACATTTCGGAAAATAATATTTTCCAGATAATATAATTTATTTATAATAATTTATTATTGAATTTTTAAATCACTATTTCTTATCTCTATTTTTTCTCATATAGTAAAAATGAGTCTAAATTATTTTAATTTATGTTTTAGGAAGGGGATTGTCATATTTAGGAATTCTTGGCATTAATAAGTTTGAAAACCCCCTTTTCAAAGTCATTTTTATTTTTGATAAACACTTGCCTTATGTTCATTTAGTCAGAACGTATGTAAACACATTTTTCACGGTTCGCTGTGCATGACAAACCACACAGACACATTAGCAAAGTAACAGCTAAACTCTTTTTTTATTAAAACAACTACTTTTTAAGTGACTTCATAAAGACTATGAAACCAATGTTTTAAGAATAAGAATTTCACGACTGAAATCCTCATTTTAGCTTTAAGCTCCATAAACAACACATCACAACAAAAGCATTGTCAGCAAATCAGAAATACATAACCAAAGTGATTTAATCGCCATCTAAAATTAAGATTACAGAAGGTGATCTCAGTGTGACATTATGATGTGAATTCTTATTTTACATGATCACAAGTGTAGGAGAGGAACCAGCAGACTAAGAGTCAATTTTAAGAGTCTGTTTCGGTTCACAAGAATGAAATTTAAAACTGAACTTGAAGAACTGCAATCTAAAAATGTACATTTTGCAACACATGTAGCAGTGCAATAAAAGATGCACGTCTTTTAAAAGATATGACTTGTAAAATCCTGTGATTGATCATTTTATATTAATAAAATTAACAAGGACACAGCTGTTTAATGAATAAATGATCCCACTTTATATTAGGTGGTCTTAACTACTATGTACTTACATAAAAAAATAAGTATATGTCCTTATTGTGTTCATGTTGTATTGCAAAACACTTTTGCTGTTATTGAGGTGGGATACGGGTAAGGTTAGTGACAGGTTTGGTGGTATGGGTTGGTTTAAGGGTGGGTTAAGGTGTAAGGGATTGGTCAACAGTGTAATTATACAGAAATTAATTACAGATGTAATTACATGCAGGCATTTTTAAAAATGTAAGTACAATGTATTTATGTACACAATAAGTGCATTGTATCAATTGATTAATTTAAACGTAAGTACATAGTAGTTAAGGCCAGCTAATATAACCTGTTAGCATTCCAACGTGGTACGTTTTGTGCTTAGTTACATTTTCCAGGAATGCTAAGGGGATAAAGTGGGACCGAATAAATACCTGTTCAATGTCTGTAATGTGTCTAATATATGGTCAGATTTCAGAACCTGACTCAAAATCAGACAAGTCTTTTAAGTAAACCGTATTTAGACATCAGTGTTAAGAAGTCTTTGTAGAGGCTTCAAATACTTGGTTTTGTGTGAGAAACAATTTTGTCTTAGTGATGAGAATTAAACAACATCCCTCTATTAAAATAATTAGGAGATTTTACAGGGGTTAAGGTCCATCAGTCTCCGCCTTGTCCGTCTTCGTTCCCGATTAACAGCCGTTCGAACGGCACACTCAAAAACCTGTTGCACACCACGATTGCTGAGAGCCGAGCATTCCAGGTATCCCTTGGCACGGATCTCCTGTGCCACCTGTTTGCCCTCGGAGGCTGTGGTGCAGTTAGTACGATACGGGCCCATCTCACGATGGTCTGTCTGTGTGGCAACAACCAGCACAGGTACTCTTGGAAGAAATTCCCTCACTTCAGCAATCCATTTATGCCGCAAATTATTTAACGAATTTGGATTTGCCACCGAATAACATAGCAAAACCACATCGGCCTGCTGATAGGACATGGGTCGGATTTGGCGGAATGTATCATGTCCTGCTGTATCCCACAGTCCCAAGCTGATCTGGATTCCATCCATGAAAACATCAACGCCAGTGTTCTCATAGACAGTCGGTCTGTAGCTGTCTGGGAAAGTTTCAGAAGTGAATCGTACAAGAAGTGCAGTTTTACCCACTGCACAGTCCCCGACCAGTACGCATTTCACTGAGGTCTCTGCCAACCCATTCATCCTTCTGTCTCTGGTGTTGTAGTTATTGTAAAGTGCAGTCAAATGCTTCTACAAAATATATCAGCGGTGTCCGACAGATGATGAAGCCATCGTTGTAATTTCAAGTTTGCAGAACTGTGAGGAATAAGAGTAAAAACCCTGCACGTTAAACAGCATTCTGAAGTCTTCTTCACGCTCTTCGTCTTGTGATGTGGTGATTTACTCCTCGGCTCTGTATTCCAATGAAGGTTTAGGAACTGAGGTCATTATGTACCATTAGAGATATTTAAGACAGAAATCCAGAAGTAAGAAGTCACCCAGCCGTATCTTTCGTTTGACCGTTGTACTCTCTCTGACTCTGGCTTAGTTGAAAGAATAAAAAAGTACAATTACTATTATGCAATCACAAAACACCAAGAAATGTTTTCATACAATGAGTTTTTTCTTTTTTTAAGATTTATTTTTGCCATTTTAGGCCTTTTATTTAGATAGGACAGAAGGTCAACAGGAAGGGAAGTGGGGGGGATCGGGAAAGCTCCACAAGCCAGGACTCAAACTCGGGACACCCAAAGCGCAACAGTGCTACAAGTCAGTGCGCTGCCCACGAGGCCATCGGCGCCAACACAATGAGTTTTTTTTAAATAGATTTATATGTAATCTAATTTGTCTCATATTTAAAGAAATGATCATTTACTCAGACTTGTGTTATTCCAAACCTGTATGATTCTCTTTCTTATGTGGAACACAAAAAAAACTATTTTGAAATGTGTCTCATTCTTTTCTTTTTTTTGGTCCATACAGTGACAGTCTATGGGGTCAGATGTTGTTTCGACTGCAACGTTCTTAAAAATACATTCCTTTGTGTTCCACAGAATAAAGAAAGTCATACAAGATCGAAACGACGTGAGAATTCTGTCAATTTCTCGTTCTCATTTTTGTGCTAAATATACATTTAAAAAAGAAATACTACAACATCATGCAATAAACAATCACTCAATTTTTCATTTTCTCCTCGTGTTTCATAGAAGTGAAATGTAGTACAATGTCCCGCTAAATTACAGAGCACAGTAGACCTCTCTCATTATGAGGCCTGGGACAACGCTTCCCGTTGACAACAGCATTGATATTGACTAAAGTCGAATTTAAGAATTTTTTGTTATGAGTGTTCTAAAAAATGCTGTTTAACACAATTTCCACAGCATATTTGTTTGTTTATTTAATAAATCTATGGGCCAGTGCTGGTAAGGATATTTTTGACATAACACAACCTTATAGATGATTCTCGAAATGGCAATGGCTTACACTTCCTAGGCCTACATGGCTGTCATGAGAGGAAAGTACACTGATGATTCAAACAGCTGCTCCAGTTAATACCACAACAGGCCAAATGTTTGTAATGTATTCTGTCTGAAAACACTTTTTGACATTATCAGACTACTCTTAAGAATAAGAATAATCTGGCAAGTATTTAATAGTCTCTACGGTTTAGATACAGTTCTGTGCCAATATAGAAAATACCGTGTTTTAAAATGACTCCAGTAATTATATCTTCATCGACAGCTGAAACACATCAGGATTCTTAAAGTCTTGTGTGCTTCTTGAAAGAAATACTGAGCATTGGAAAAATAATCTAAATTTAGAGGTTCGGTGATGGAGCACAAGCATTGTAAGGTATAATACAAATATAGAATAAAATACTTTCTTATTTTGATTTTTGTTCATCAAAAAATAATTTATTTTTCAATGTATTTAATGAAGCCCTTGGTAACCACGTTATATTAAACCAGGGAACAAGAACGTTATGATTTTCATTTTTTAAAGACACAAAAAAAATGTATATTTAAAAAATATCAATTTCAATCAACATTTAAAAATAATTCATTTAAATTTAAACCGGTTAAGAACCTTACAAATAATGAACACTGCAAATACCAGGTTTGGATTGTTGATCAATTTATGCAGATGAAATAAGTTTATAGATAGAAAATACATTTATACATTTATAAAACAGATTCACAGTTTTAAACTGAAGCGTAATATAGTTAATAAATGTATTACAAAGAAAGCAACTCACCTCTTTGAACTCTTCAACTCAATTTAGCATGTTATTTCGTGTAATTTAATTAAGCATTAAGAAAAGATCAGAACTCAGTCGAAAGCTGCATATTTCTCAGAAGTTAAACAGTTAAACTCAGGAAATTCAAATACTCTTAAACACAGAGAGAAAATATATGCCTTCACAGACAGAGCATATGTTGCATCCTCTAGTAGAGGGAAGTGAAATGCGAGGCTGGGCTCTTTTCTCTGTAAAATCGTACATCAAATCTCTTCTAAGCTTCCGCTGTGACGTTCTCAGCACATCTACGGTATTGAGTCTTGCTTCTTCTGCAGTCAAGAACTCATACGTGAAACTAATGCAGGTAATGCAGCAAAGAAACAAAGATACAAACAATAACAAGATCAAGCCCTACATCAACTCTCATGTCCTGATGAGATTTACTGTTTGTTCTTTGTTTTGGGGTCCCTGAGACTATGTGCTGTCTGTATAGTAAATATGTTTATGTATATGTAAATATGTTTTGAAATTAATACTTATTTCCAGTTGAAATTATTTTATCACCAAGTAGACACATTTTAGAGAGGACTGCCAGACAGTATTGTATTTAAAAAGCCCGAGAGTCTCTCAGATCTCAAACAAAACATGACGTTTACGTGAAAAAGAATAATTACCACAATATCAGAGCACTTGTTTAGGTTATAAAAGGGCATGTAATTCAAGCATGATAGTTTTTTCTTGGACTTCACATTTGTGTTTACCACTGGTAAACAAACAAAAGGGAGCAATTCAAACTATTCAAATTTCCAATGACAATTTTGAAGGGCATTGAACATTTATAATCAATACAGCAAACAAGTTGTTTGTGTAAATAAAGCCTTATATTCAATTTCAGATGGCAAGAAGTAAGTTGGTGAGTCAACAGTGTCGCCCTCTGATGGAGAGGAAGTGCACTGCACTCACTTCAACAGCTGCCACTTTCATCACGGAGGAATCTGACCTTTACTTGAAACAAACGTCAGCTACTGAGCGTTCAACATGCTGAGTTATATTTTCCTCCACCAACGGTTTCTACTGATTAAAGGGGAAATATAGAGAAAGAGACATGAGGATGCAGAAAATGTTCAGCTGTGATTTTGTGCTCCAAGCACATGCGACGCTAACCCCCAGAGCTGTGCTAATTGCATAACATTTTCATTTCACCAAAAGAATCAAAGCTTGTACATGTTAAGACTTTATTCTTCTGTTCAGATTTTTCCAACCATAATTTCTAACAAAAATAAAACAAAAGTTTACATATAAAATCTTTTGAGGTTCAAAATATACAATTTCACAAAAATATTTTTTCAGAACAAATTCTTACACAAGAATTGTGATTTGCATAGCAGCATTAAGATGTCTATAAAATATGTGTGGTATCAACATTTTCAACTGGAAATATAAAAACCAAAGCTGAGCTAAAAATCAAATACTAGCACAGCATAGCAACATAAAATGTTCAATTCTGATCTAGGAGCTGCTCACAAACAAACTAAAATGCAAAGCTGATTGAGGATCAGCATTTATATTTCCAGAAACTCTATTAACGTATTTCGATATATTCCAACACTGAAGAGAATAAGCCATCCTACGACATCCCCATTCCCATTTCCATACACAACATCCTAGGTCTTGTAAAACTGACGTAACACTTATAAACCAAAAGTATGGATCAAAACAATGTTACTACAAAACAAAATCATGTACAATAAAAATACAATTAAATATCAAACAAGTACCTGAATAACAACCCACTTTTTCTCCTATATGGTCTGGTTATGAAAAATGTGTGACCATTATATATATAAATATAAGGTTACAAAAGGCCAAAAAACAAAAAAACCTAATTACGTAAAATTGTAGTGATTACGATTAGGAAGTGGGATCAGGTAGTGCAGGGGTGGGCAAACTTGGCCCTTCCAGGCCACTTTCCTTTAGAGTTTAGCTCCAACCCTAATCAAACACCTGAACCAGCTAATCATTGTCTTCAAGACTACTAGAAGGCTACAGTCAGGTGAGTTTTATCAGGGTAGGATCAAATCTCTGCAGGAAAGTGGCCTGGAAGGGCCAAGTTAGTGAGTTAGTGGGATAAGGATGCATCAATAAACATTCAATAAAGAATAATATGTATGTACAGGTCAATGCATTATAAAACACTGTGTAAATATGTAGTAGCCTACGTTGATTTTTATGACTTGGATAAACTTTTGCACAATTACAGAAAGACATGAAAATGGTGTATGTAGTTAAAAGACAAAAGAACAGTATAATTACTGGCACTATTAGTCAGCAGAGAAGACACTTTGGATTAAGGCAGTGGAAAGAGAGAAATCTAAAAGTAAATGTTTCATTGTAGCAGCTCTTAATGAAGTGTGACCAGCACCAGTCCAGTCTTAGGCTCAGCAAAACTGCAAGAAAGACAAAAAGAAATGATGGGAAAGAAATCACAAAATGTACACATAATGACAATTGGTTATGCAAGATAACAAAATAAATAAAAAGGTCACAAATTAAGTCCCTAGAATGTTTCTATAATTCTGCTAGATTAAATAATCAGATTAAATATATTATATACATTTATAATTGTTTTACCTTAATTATTAAATTTTTTAATATCCAAAATTATTATGAACCCTAGTATTTTCACCAGCTAAAATTGGTTTTAAGTCAGTTATTTCTATATTTGCTGTAGTGTGTCAGTAGGAAATATCAGTTTACATTTCCAAACATTCATTTTGCCATTAATTGTAATAATCCAGAGATTTTTGTTTGCACAAGGAGTCTGACAACATCCAGTGCTCCACACAGAGATCTCATCTCATCATCATCATCCAGTCTGTCTGCAATGACATGAAGACATGAAGAAAAAGAACAAACTGAGACAGACTAAATCCAGAAGAACTGTGGCAACATCTCCAAGATGCTTCAAGAAACCTACCTGCAAAGCTACAGTGCTGTTAAAAGTTTTAGGCACTTGTGTAAAAATGCTGTAAATGAGGATGCTGTCAATAATAATGTCATAAATAGATTTTCTTTATCAATTAACTTCTATTAACTAAATTAAATCAACATTTGGTGTGACCATCCTTTGTGTTTAAAGCAGCTTTTGCCCTAGGTGCATTAGTTGGAAATGTAAACTGATATTTCCTACCGACACACTACAGCAAAAGATATAACTGAAATAACTGACTTAAAAACATTTTTTAGCCTGGAAAATTAGAAAATTAGAAAATTAGAAAATACTAGTGTTCCACCACTGTATATAAAATTTATATTTCAAAAATACTGGATGCAGTTAGTATACCTGTAGTGATGATTTTTTAGGTAGTCTAGTACAGCAGGCCTGATGCGTGCCACTCCCCCTTGGCTGCGATTGCCTCTTCCTGTGATGATTGACAGCTGAGCCTCACACAAACCCTGACTGAATTCTACAAAAAAAAAGACACACACACACACACACACACACACACACATCCATTCAAGATAATGCCAGACTCTGAAATCAAAAAATTATCCAACACACCAAAACCTGTACAATCCAACTGCTATATATAATAGAATGTTATTTTTAAGTATGTATGTTAGTGGTTCACTTACCTAAATTCTTGTCTGTGAGAACCTGACTAAGATGATGAAGGGCCTCATCCACATGCAGTCCATGGAGATCTAGAATATTCTGAGGCAGGAGTGAAGTATTCACTCTCTGAAATATCTGCATGGCTGCTCTGTAATTCGCTTCACGCATCTTGTCCCCATGCATGTGACCCTAAGCATGTACACAAAATTGGACATGGAACCTTTAAGTAAGAGTTCTAATCAAAGAACAGCACTGCACTTTACATGTTTTAAAAAGGCATTTGTTACATATACATGTTTTAAAAAGCTAACAGACATAGGAAATAAAGCTCAGCAGCAAGTGTCCTGAAAGTTCAAATAATATGTGATACAAAAAAACTCTATTTTTCTACATTATTTAAACTGCTTCATGGAATGAGTAGTTCATTCAGTAGAAACTCTGAAAATCCCTAGAATGGCCCAAAGATAACTAGAAATCAGGAGAAATCATTAATTCTCCAGTTTATGAATGAACAATTCCTGGTTGTGAACTTGCAAAAATTTTGATTTCTATAGAATGCAACAGTCAGGTTACGGAAGTAAAAATCCCATTCATTTTCTCTATCAGGGTTTCAGCAGGATTTTAAAGCTCAAATTTAAGTATTTTTAAGACCTTTTTTTAAGACCTGCACAAATAAAATGAATACCATATGAACGGGGTAGGGCAATGTCTATAGTAACTTATTAAACTGTAAAATG